TGTGTGTGTGTGTGTGTGTGTATGTGTGTATGTGTTTAGTGTGTGTGTGTGTGTGTATGTGTGTGTGTGTCTGTGTATGTGTGTAGTGTGTGTGTCTGTGTGTGTGTGTGTGTCTGTGTGTGTGTGTAGTGTGTGTGTGTGTGTGTGTAGTGTGTAGTGTGTAGGGGCGGGGGAGGGGTCTGCTGTGGCTCAGCTGTGCCCAGGACTTTGTGAGGCTGATCATCTTCCATCTGTGGCTCCAGGGTTGCTGAGCACTGACCGGTGCTGAGGGTTGGGAAAGGCTAATTCCTTGAGTTCCTTGTTCTCTGGTAGTGTTCTTTAAAGTCTGCTTTCTGTTTTTGTTGGGTGACATGGAGGCCACTTCCTAATGAGAGTTAAGAAAAGCACAGAAGTTTTTTTTTAAAAAAGAGAGTCATGAGAGATGAGTCCTCTCTGGACTTCTGTGGACTGATAGAACAGGCAAGTGTGTGGTGTCCTGGCAGCGTCCAGTTCTCTCCCTCAGGCCAGACTTCTGCAAACAGGAGTGAGTCCTTCCTGGAGCAGCTCCGAGAAGCACTTGTCACTGGGCTGTGGTCTTCCTTACATCACAGGGACACACACCTCTCCACTGTTGACCAGTGTGTCGTGTTTGCAGGTAGTTCATGTTGTCCTATGGAAGTTCTCTGTGTGAGGTTAGGGCCCCTTCTTCCCTGCATCTGTGCCATCTGAGCTTGTCCCTGTGGTGAGAGTGTCCCCTAGTGTTCACCTACATTACTTGCTTGTGCTTATTTTAGACAGGCTCTGATGATAGCCTGTGAATAGCAGTCAAGAACAGGTCCAGAGCTGCCCACTTCTGGGAACACAGACCTGAGTATGTGTTTGTGTCTCAGCTCAGCCAGGCAGTGCATCTGACAGGCCCAACTCTTCTCTGAAAGACAGTAAAGTGGAGAATGGAAATTTGGTTGCCATAAGTAACTGTTTAGAGCAAGACTGCATCCCTTAATTCTAGAAGGAAAAGCAGCTTTCCAATCACTGTATTTAATATTTCTCCTCCCTTTGGCCCTGTGGCAGACTAGTGCTAGGGGAATAGGGGCCTGGTGTGCTCTTGGGATATTTTCCAAATTCAACTTTTTAAAATTTAACAGATACAGAGTTCCTCATATTTATTGGCTAAGCCTTGGGGCTCAGGCCTGGGTAGTCTACGTCCAATGAGAAATGGACAAAATGCTGATGATGGCAGTAGAGTGAGTGGGTCAGGGCAGTGTCTGAGGACAGGCTTTTGCCATGCAAGGAGGAGACGGTGATGGCTATGGTGGGTAGGAGAATGTGAACCATGGGCTGTGAGCATGAGCAGAGGCCAGGAGAGACACTGGGTCTTTGAGGGGCAGGAAGGGAAGCCCCAGCTGAGGAGGAGGGGCCATTGAGAGCCAGGCACTCAGGGCAAACCTGATTCTATCATTTTGCAGAGGATGAGGGGAGCATAGTGATGATCCATGTCCGGTACACCAGGTCACCGGGTCACTGGCTTGCAGGACCACTGGCAGAGATTTACAAACACAGCAAAGAAGAGGGAAACCACAGGTACCTTAGATTCAGCAACGAGGGAAGGCTCATTTGAAAACCTCTAATAGAGATAGAGGGTCTGCCAGGTGGCTCAGTTAGGTGAATGCACTTGATGCCAAGCCTGACAACCTATGGCTGATCCCTTGAACCCATGTGATGAAAGGAGAAACTGATGCCCAGAAGACTCCCAGAGTTGTGCTCTAACTAGTACACGTGTGTCATGACACGTGCTCTCCACACAATAAATAAATAAATAAATAAATAAATAAATAAATAAATAAATGTGAGAAGCAAAACTGCCCCGTTCTAAGGAGGAGGAGGACCTGGTCTGGTACTTTCCCCAAGAGCCTCGTTAGCCTGTGAGCCATGGTTGGTGAAGAATGACAGAATGGGTGCCTAGGAGTTACCGTGTATGGCATCTGACTAGAGAGAGGCAGTGCACCCTCTATGGAGGTGTGTTACTTTGAGACACATGCTGTACAATTGCTAAATAAACTGTCCCCAGCATACAGTCCTGCACCCAGCCCTGCAGGCTTGAGGCTCTGCAGTCATTACCCATTTGTCAGATAAGAGTGGTGAAGTGTTTTGGCTACTTATCTCCTCTACAGAAGTTAAGAACTACACTAAATTAAGCTAAATGGCCAAAGTTACTGTGCTAATACAGAGTTCTAAGTGTGTCCATATGCTTAGTCCATCCAGCAGCTCCTCAGCACTCACAGGGGCCGAGAGAGGGGCCCAAGTACTAATACAGTCACCATCAAGACTGTGGAAGCTGGAGTACTGAGCCAGAGTTTGAACCCAGACTCTTTGCCATCTCCCCAATCCTTTATGGCAGTGGTTCTCAACCTTTCTGATGCTGTGACCCCTTAATACAGTTCCTCATATTGTGGTGACCCCAACCATAAAATTATTCCGCTGCTACTTCATAACTGTAATTTTGCTACTGTTATGAATTGTAACATAAATATCTGATATTCAGGATATCTAATATGTGACTCCAAAGGGGTTGCCATGCACAGGTTGAGAAACCACTGCTCTACGGACTTCCCTTGCTGGCTATAGCTCTGAAACACTCCTCAGAGTTCTGTGGCCTTCCCAGCTTCATTGCTTTAACAGTCTCACAGAGCATTGTCTTCCCATCCTTAACCAGCAGGGGGTGCAAGATCTGCTTATACCCAGCTCTATATTCAGCCTGGAAGTTAGGTGCTACCTTTGGAGAACAGGAAAGGGGAAGGGCACTTGGCTGACCTCTATAGATGAAAAACTGTAGTTGCACTGTAAGTGAAAGCCGGATTCTGCAAGTGACTGCAGCACCTGGGTTGTATAGATTTGGGTTTTGCTGTTTGGTTTTGAGAGCATCGTGCTACTCTATGCATAGTTGAGTCTGGCCTTGATCTTGAAATTGTCCTGCTTCATTCTCAAGATTGCTTGGCATTACAGTGTGTCATCATGGCCAACACAGAATGTGCTGAAGAAAACTCTTAAGCTGGGGAAATGGCTCAGTGGGTAAAGCACTTCCATGCACACATCAGGGCTGAGTCCAGAGCCCCAGGACCTAATGAAGCCAGGCAGGGTAGCATGTCTCTGTGACCCAGTGCTGCTATGGCAAGACAGGGAGCAGAGACAGGAGAATGCTGGAAGCCTGAAGGCCACTCAGCTCAGAGTGTACAGTGAAACAACAAAGAAGAGGAAGGTGGAAACTTTACCCAAGCTGTTCTCTAACCTGTAAACATGTGGTGTGGCATGTGTACTGTGGCACATCTGCATGCATTGCGTGCACACACATAAACAAACAAACAAACAAACATGCCGGGTGGTGGCAAACGCCTTTAATTCCAGCTCTCGGAAAGCTGAGGAAGGTGGATCTCTGTGAGTTCCAGGACAGCCTCCAAAGCCACAGAGAAACCTTGTCTTGGAACACCCCCCCCCAACAAAACAAAACAAAAAAACATGTACCAGGGTTTTTTTCTTTGGGGCCACCAACCAGTTCCCAAACTGTAACATGGAGACTTATTACTTATGAATGCTCAGCCTGACTTAAGCTCATTTCTGGCTAGTTCTTTTAACTTAAATTAGCATATTTCTCTTTATCTGCCTTTTGTCTTGGGGATTTTTTTTCTTGTCTTTTCCTTCTGTGTATCTTACACTGCTTCTTGTGTCTGACTGGCTAGCAGCTGCCTGGCTTCTGGCACTGGGCATCTCCCTCATTTTCCTCCTCTTCCTCTCGTTCCTCTTGAGCCTAGATTTCTCCTCCTTTTGTTTTTGTTTTTTTTGTTTGTTTGTTTGTTTGTTTTTTTGTTTTTTGTTTTAGATGCCTTTATTAGCTTCCTGAGACAGGCAAGGCGAAACAAATGTAACACATCTTTACATAATGAAACAAAGATGCCATAAACAAAACCTTTACACACCTTTACACGGTTAAACTAATATTCTGCAACATAAACAAATGCAACACATCTTTGCCTAGTTAAGATAATATTCTACAACACAAGCAAACAAACAAAAATAGCTGTTAAGTACAAAGAGCCTGGACTTTTAAAGGCTCCCAAACATCTTTCAAGTTCAGTTAAGACTGCTTTTGTGATCTAGTTGTAGCAGTGATACTGACCCAGAAGCCCACTGACAGAGCAACATGGAAACACCAAAAGGAAAGCAGCTACCAGTGTGAGCACATCATACCCTCCCTCAGTTGGTGGCTGGAGTCTCGACTACACCTGCACCCCCATCACCCCCATCGGCGTTGAGAGACCACTCACCCTCCCTGGGGGGGCAGCAATTTGCCTTTCCATTTTTCCCCTAGAAATAGTTTATTGGAGAACTTTAGAAACAGCCAAAGGGAGGGGCCTGTGCAACAACATTAGCATTTGACAGCCACACTGCAGACCCCGCATAGGGCTGCACTCCAGGGAGAGAGGCTGTGTGACTGGAACTTGTACCATGATGTTCCTGCACTGCCACCATTCCTGCCAGGGCTTTGCTGGCCATGGAGATCAGTGTGGCTATGATGTTTGAGAACAAATGCTTTTTTGTGAGCTCTTTGTGGGAGGTAGTTACAAACCAGATGTGGAACTTCAGCTTCCACATCTGCTTCCCACCACAAGGGCTAGTCAGGAGCCAGCATCTCCCCCAGGTTGCTCTTAGCTTTGCTGTGCCAGTCCACTGTGCTGTTGGCCTCACTCACCCAAGAGCCCAAGAGCAGAGCCATTTCTAAAAGCATTGTCCTCTCCTAAGCCGTAGAATGCCTTCACTTGGGATGAGGCCAGAAAGCGTGTTAGAGATAGCTGTCTGTTGAGTCTCAGGGATTGTGTCTGTGGGAAGATAAGAAAATAAAAGCCAGTATTCATTAGAAAACCAGTCATTATTCCAAACGAGCAGTGCACCTCTTAGGACCAGAGTAACTACTACAGCAATAGGAGTGCATGCCCCTGATGCCTCCTGGCCAGGCACTGAAAACAAGTTCAGAGGCTGAGATGGCCCAGCTCCATACAGATGCAGTCCTAGCCCCTAGGAGGTAGAGACAGGAGGAGCAGGTTGGAGGTCATCACATGAGACCCTACCTCAAAAAAGGAAGAAAGGAAAGAGAGGTGTTCATAGAAGATCATTGAGAGACAGACAGACAGACAGACAGACAGACAGACAGACAGACAAGAGAGAGACTCACAGGTTGTTAAAGTTACCAGGGCCTCACATAGCAGCATAACTGACAAACCCTCCTCTTAGCCACTCTGTAGGACTGTCTCAGAGGTTTCCGTTTTCTCTCAAGAGGGTGGAGCCAGTCAGGCCCCGTGAAGAGAGCAGTTGGACAAAGAGATGAAGGAAAATTCAGGCCTCTAAGCATGTCTTCTACTTTTATGGTGTAAATGGAAAAATTGTCACCAAAAGAATGGCATGAATTTAAAAAACAAGCAGAGGAGCATTACAAGTTAGAATGAGGGTTTTGGTATTTTGTTTTGTTTTTAAATTTTAATAGTTTAAAAACCTAGGTTACAGTTTAAATAAGAAATTAAATCATATCGAATTCCAGCAGGGGGAGACAAACTCACACTGATTTTTCTGAAAGAAAATGGTAAGGAATGATTGCAGAGAGAAGGGGGAGGAGGGAGGAGAGAGAGAATGAGTGTGTGTGTGTGTGTGTGTGTGTGTGTGTGTGTGTGTGTGTGTGTGATGAAGACAGGCATGCAGATAGACAGGATAGAGTGGTTGCACCGTGTATGAGTGCATTGTGAACAGGTCAGGGATCTGTAGACACTCAGCACTATCATGGGTCTTTTAGAAAAGGGCAGATGGCCCCACAGCAAATGAGACTGACGCGGAGGTGATGTGCCTGTGTGGTTTACTGTGGTGTTTTTGCATTAGGAAAGAGAGGCTTGAATGTTAGAAAGCATCTCTGGAGAGTAAGTCTGTCACAGCCAGTTGTATTGTGCAGCATTGACCCCTGGGTTCTGACAGGCATCCCTTAGTCTTGAACATGAGTGTGTCACCAGGTACATCGGAGTGCTGCACACCAGAGCCAGACTGGCTGCCGAGCAGCTGGGAAACAGAAGGGACTGAGAGAGTCCAGCAGCCAGTGGGTAGCATGGGGATGAATGCCCTCTGCTTAGCTTAGGCAGTGACAGACAGCATGCTGTGGTAACATCAGAGCAGCTCACATTTAAACAGTAGCAGATCCCATCTCTGTTTAGTCTTTTGGAACCTGTGTTCAGTGGTAACTGACAATACACTGACATTAGCCATGCTTTGCTTCTCAGCATGGCTGATCAAAGGGAAAAAATACCAAGAAAAGATTGGCCCATCTTCTGGAGTGTCACTCCCCTTGCCAGGGCAGGAACTGAAACAGCCATAGTGCCAACCTTGTGGACAGTTACACACTTGGTTCGAGGTCTGGTGGAACTGTCTACTCGGGGAAGCTGATTTTCAAGAAGCCTCTTCCCTACCACACAGGCAGACACTACATGTGGCCTGCTGTCCTCCTTGCCTCCAGGGCCTTGTTGTTATAGCTAGGGAGACCCTGCCTCTCACTGCTGCCTGTACCTGTCTACCGTAGTTTCAGAGGACATTGGCTTAGGTTGTAAGGAGGCTGAGGAGCTTAGGCCACAGCCCTTCGGACATGGCCTGGAAAGGTGGAAAAAGTGGCAGTCTGCCTGTCTCTGGCCCTGACTGTCTGACCTACCCAGATGACTCTGGGAGTCGTTGTCAGAGAGCTGCTGGTAAGATAGTTTTAGAATCTGGGAGATTGACCCCCTAGTCAGTGATGATTGCTTCATTAGGTGCTGGTGATGCTACCCGCATGGCTAAGCAGCTCAGTGTCTGTCCGCTCCTTCTCCAGTGAGAAGCATGCTAGAAATGCGGCTGTCGAGCCAGCTCCATTTCAGATTCTTCACACCGTTCCCTTTAATGATAAAGGTGTTATATGGGGAAACACACAGTACTTGGTGGAAACAGTACCATAGTGTCTGCACATCTCCAAGACCCCACAGAAGACCCAGGCAGCAGTACCAAGCAGCTCTGACCCACAGCCCCATTGACTCACTGACAGAGCACCTGACAGAAACAGCAAGGGAGAGAAGATCCAGTTTGGTTCATGGTGTCAAAGGGCTTCAGTCCATCTCTGTGTGGAAGGCATGGCAGAGTGGCCTGGTCTGTGGTGGCAGGAGTGTGTGGCAAAGCTATTCCCATGAATAGCCCAGGAAGAGGAGAGCTGGTCTAGAACCAGAGGCTGGGTCTAACCCTTTAAAGACCTGCCCATAATAAGAACTCCTCCCAGACAAGCCCTACCTCTTAAGGGTCCCGCAGCCTTCCACAATTGTTCCATCAGCTGGGGAAGAGAAGAGCTGTTCAAGACATGAGCCTATGGGCGACATTTCCCGTTCAATCCATAATGCCCTGGGTGAGAATTTGCCCCATAGGACTCTTCCATCACCAGGACAAGACTCTCAAGAGCAGTGTAACCAGTGGTCGCCAAAAGCTGTGGCCTAGGCTGAGTGTAGGTTGCCACTGCTGTTTGTATTAGCCCTTGAAGCTGTGTCCTTCCTTATAGCCACTTCCTTGCTAAAGAAATCTTACACCTGAACTTCCCTTCTGCAGGAGGACACCATGGAAGTGGAAGAGTTCCTGAAGGAGGCTGCAGTGATGAAGGAGATCAAACATCCTAACCTGGTACAGCTGCTAGGTAAGCAGGCACAGACTTGGACACAGAGGAAGGGCCGTGGGCAGCTGCTGTGAAGGGCCCTGGTGCAGGAGCCGTGCAGTGAGTGAGCATCACTTTTTAATCAAAGAGGACTGCATGTTTGGGGGATATGGGGAGGTCAGTAGACCAGTCAGTTGGGTTTGCTCCTTCCGTCTTCAAATGGGTGCTGGGGGCAGTCCTGTGTGGCAAGCACTTTTACTCATTGAGTAATCTCACCAGCTCAGAAGCCCTTTCTTCAGTGCCAGACTTCCCTGGGGCTCCTTCCCTTGACAGCAGGGCTACACACTGAAGCCCCCATGTCCTGTTGTCAGGGGTGTGTACCCGGGAGCCCCCATTCTACATCATCACGGAGTTCATGACCTATGGTAACCTGCTGGACTACCTAAGAGAGTGTAACCGGCAAGAGGTGAGCGCTGTGGTGCTGCTCTACATGGCCACACAGATCTCATCAGCCATGGAGTACCTGGAGAAGAAGAACTTCATCCACAGGTAGGCCTGGGCAAAGCAGCCTCATCCCTGCTTCACAACACTCAGCTGTGGAGTCTAATGGCTCAGCTCCCAACCTTGGTGCTGGCCGCTCACTAGCCCTCAAAACCAAGGCCTGACATGAGTGCTGCTTGCGGCAGGCGGGACTAAGTCCTTCAGACCCCAGGCCTAGGCCAGTGGAGCAGCTAATCCCCAGGGAAAGAAGGGCTCACTTCTGAGCCATTTTGGACTTAGTGAATATTAAATGAAATTTGTAAAGGGCCTTCTTCCTTCCTAATAGCCACGGCTCCCTCTGAAACAATGCGGTCCAAAACCAGCACTCAGTAAGGCCTCTTCTGGGCACAGGGGAAGCCAGGGCCTAGGTCTAGTTTCAGTGTGTGGCTTTTCTTCCTTCTCTTTGTGTTTCATTGTTCACCTGCTGTCACTGGGTTTGAGGATGTTTCCATGGCTGTAGAATTGTATAGAATGTGCAAGCCGGAACTAGGCATTTTTGCTGCTTTTAAAACCCAGAATGTTTTGACCTTCAAGTGTGCCACAATTATCTGGGTTTGCATGCTTTGCTGGTGGAAGTGGCTTCCTAGCAGAGTGACAACCTGTACAGGAGGGAGCCTGATGGACTTGGCCCGACTCCGTCATGCAAGATGTTCTCCACGCCACTGTGGTGACCTTTCCTGCCCAATTAACTCAAGTGTGAAACCTCAACATGAGATTTCATAGCCAGGAATAAGCAGTGTGTGTGAAATGCTGGCAGCCCCTTGGAAGACAGATTTTTTTCTGCTCCACAAGAGCCCAATCCAAACGCTCCTGTCGCTCAGCAAAGTGAAGCCTCTGATGCTGCAAATTGAGATTTCCTGACTTCTGGCTTGCCTTGCATGGCTAACTCTGTTCCCCCTCCATTCACACGCTTAAAATGCCTTACCAAAAATCCTATTAGGCACAACTCTTGTGTGTTTAATTTCTCTCTCATTGCTGATGATCAAGCTGCATGATGCAGCCGTCGCCATAAGCTGCCTGATCTTCTCATTCCTCGGTTCCCAGTTGCCTTGTGATTTCATGATTGACATCCATGAACCAAAGATTAGACCCCTTCTTCCTTAGAAGATTCAGGAGTGAGAGGAGGTGGATTATAGGGGAGAGTTTCTCAAATACATTTGGGTCGACACCAGAAAGCAAGAGGAAAGTTAAGTAAAGAATGCAACAGACTCAGTTTCATTTTTCCTGCTAAGTATAGCTAGGACAGGCAGAGACTCACTCATGTCGATCTCTTTCAGTTGAGCTTTAGGCTAACTGTTCCCTGTGCCTGGCATCAAGAGAAAGCCCTTTACATACTATCCATTTTCACACACAGCTGCCCATGGCAGGCCCTGTTACTATCTTCATTTTATGAGTGAGATAGCTGAGTTCCAAGGTAATTAACATGCTCCAGGCCATGGGACAGGACCTGTCCACATTGCCACCCTGTCTGCTTGTGTTGCTGCTATTGCAGCCCGACTAGTATTTGATGGGAGACTGTTGCTCCCCAGCCAGGCATTTGAAAGTTCTAGAGACCACACTTGGTTTTCTTTGTGTCAGTGTTACATCATCTGCCAACAGTAAAGAAGCTGCAGAGTTGGTGGGGGAGGAGGAGGGCTCAGCGAGGAGCTTGTACAGATGGCTCTTTTCCTTTTTTCAGAGACCTTGCTGCTCGAAACTGCCTGGTTGGGGAAAACCATTTGGTGAAGGTGGCTGATTTTGGCCTAAGCAGGTTGATGACAGGGGACACCTATACGGCCCATGCTGGAGCCAAATTCCCCATCAAGTGGACCGCGCCCGAGAGCCTGGCCTACAACAAGTTCTCTATCAAGTCAGACGTCTGGGGTAAGGGCCAGGTCCTGGGCAGTCCTTGCTAGTGGGAGCCCTCCTCCTCTGCTTCTCTACCGCCATCTCTCCTTCATTGCTACACCTTCTTGTTTGTTTCTGGCTTATTTTAAAACCCTCTTTCTGTTTTCTTTCAAAAATGAAGCAAAAGTGACCTTTAGGGTAGCACCACATTCGTGTCTTCATTCCATGTTAGCTAGCTGTAACCCTGATGGTGCAGCTATGACCCGGCTGACACCCAGAGTCACTCTCTCTGCAGGAGAGCTGTTCACTTTGGTTTGGGCTGCAGTCAGCACTTCATGTGGAAGTACCACTCGGTATTTATTTTATTTTTAAAGTTTTTTGTTGTTGTTTTTTGTTTTGTTTTGCTTTGCTTTGCTTTGAGACAGGGTCTTTTTACATAATTTCAACTGTCCTAGAACTCATTTTGTAGACCAAGCTGGCCTCAAACTCAGGGATCCACCTGCCTCTGCCTCCCAATTGCTGGGATTAAAGACGTGTGCCACAGTGTCTGACTTAAAGAACTTTTCATGCTGAGGATGGCCAGAAAAGATGGAGTTGAGTAGTGAGCCCTTTGCCCCACCCACGCCCTTTTTTTTTTTTTTTTTTTTTTTTTTTTTTTTTTTGAGACAGGGTTTCTCTGTGGCTTTGGAGAGGCTGTCCTGGAACTCACTCTGTAGACCAGGCTGGTCTCGAACTCACAGTGATCCACCTGCCTCTGTCTCCTGAGTGCTGGGATTACAGGCGTGCACCACCACCTGGCCACCTCTTGTTATCTTAAAGCAAGTTCCAGACATTACATTATTTTACATGTAAGCACTTCAGTATTTGCATCTTACAGATGACTCCTCTAATACAGCACAGTGCTACACCCAGTCTTGACTGACTTCTGAATATCATCAGATATCCAGTGCTCACATTTCCAGTTAAACCATAAACCCAGGTCTGTGTGTATAGTTCCATGTGAGAGCCAGCTCGGCTCACTCACTGCAATAGTTGATGTGTCCTGTGTGACTCTATTTCCCTGCTACTGCTTTCTTTATTGATAAACTCTGTCACTTTTCCTTTAGATGTTTCCAGATTCTGGACTTTGCTTGTTGTGTTCCTGTGCTGTCATCTGTTCAGTGCCTGTGGCTTCAATCCTCTTAGAAAATTCAAAATCAGATCTGGATACCTGATGACATTTGGGTTGACTTTTCTTTCACTTAATACATTAGAGGAAGTGGCACGCCCTTAGATCGGTTTATCCATAATGCTTGACTTCTTACCCTCTAGTGTGGCAGTTCTCAACTGCTTTGGCAAACCTCTATCTCCAAAAATATTTACATTATGATTAATAGCAGCAGTAAAATTAGTCATGAAGTATCAATAAAATAATTTTATGCTTGGGGGTCACCACAACATGAGGAGCTATTAAAAGGGTCACAGCATGGCTGGAGAGATGGCTCAGAGGTTAAGAGCACTGACTGCTCATCCAGAGGTCCTGAGTTCAATTCCTAGCAACCACATCACATGGTGGCTCACAGCCATCCGTTATGAGATCTGGTGCCCTCTCCTGGCCTGCAGGGATACAGCAGTAGGAAGGTTGAGAACCACTGCTGTGTGGGATGTGGTGTAGCAGCTCTTAATGACCAGAGCCAGAACTGGTGGTTCACTGGGGGCTGTCATGTGATCATTCTCTAACTCCTTCATTCCATATTTAGTTAGCCACAGAGTGTAAAAGACAAAACCTGGTATGTGCTTGGCTACTCAGTGGTAGAGCTGGTGCAGAAATAGGTTCAAGTGAGCTGCCTGTCATGGCTCCCACTTTCCTGTAGTGGTGGCAGTTGGATTTGCTAGTCTTTTGTGGTGTTGACACACTGATATGTTTCAGTGTACTGTAGTTCTTTTTCTTAACAGTGGAGCATCTTGTCTTTGGCCAGTGGGAACTCCTCCCTCGCCCTTTTGTCAGTATACCTTGTAGTCTTTCATAACATCCATGCTGTCCAGAATGGCAAGATAGCCCAGGCCTCTTCCTTGTCCCAGATCTGAGTCACTTGTTTTTCTGAGGATCCCCAGTGCTGCTGGAGGGAAGAAAGACTTTCAGAGTTCACAAGATTTTTTACAAACTGTGGGGATAATCTTACCCACCTAGAAACAGGCATTCGACTACATAGTCACAGAGCTATGAGCGGAACATGGTATCTGACATCTAGCCCTTATGCCACTTACCTGAGAGACCCTGTAACCCAGAGGTCACCTTTCCCCTTCTCTCCTTTCACATATTTTAGTTTAGTATGAGTAAACAGTTTTGCTCTGTCCTACCTTTCCTGGGCTGTTATCATGGGGAGCCTGGTAAATGTCACTGATCAGACTGCTTTGCAGCTCTCTGTTGCACAGTGTGGAAAAGCCTTCTCCATCATTTTTATGTGCATGTTGTGTGCATTTATGTATGTGAGTACATGCATGGTGTGTGTGTGTGTGCGTGTGTGTGTGTGTGTGTGTGTGTGTGTGTGTGTGTGTGTGTGTGTGTGTGTGTACTTTGTTACATGTAAATGTCAGAGGACAACTTTGTGGAGTTACCTCTCTCCTTTCCCCTTTGTTGATTATGGGATGGAAAGGTGTTGGGAGAGATCCTAGATACCTGTACTGCTGACCACAGGTACGTAGAAGGGTAGGATAAAGAGCGAGGAGAGGCGCTTGCTCTCTTTCGGGGTTTAAGCCAGGTCTCAGAGTGCGTCTGAGACTGGGCTGCTAATCTGGTTATCGGCTACACATGTGAATTGTTTGCATCGTTATCATTTATAATGTACTACCAATAACCTTATCTTGTGTACGGTTATGTTCCTTATCGAAAAGGTCTTTAGGCTTGTGAGGCAAACACTTTACCCACTGTGAGTCATCTCTCTGGCCAACCCCTCACATACCCTGATGTCTTCCTCTCCCTTCTTTCTTTCAGCATTTGGAGTATTGCTCTGGGAAATTGCTACCTATGGCATGTCACCTTACCCAGGAATTGACCTGTCACAGGTTTATGAGCTGCTGGAAAAAGACTACCGTATGGAGCGCCCTGAAGGCTGCCCGGAGAAGGTCTATGAACTCATGCGAGCATGTGAGCCTCCCCAACCCGTTCAGAAAGTACATATGGGCCCTGAAGAAATTGCAGTGGTGCAGGTCTGCAGAAGGCTGTTTCAGTGGATCCTTGGCACTGTTCCCATACTCCCAAGCCACTCATGGAGTCTGGCTTTTGTGTGCCTGTCAGGGCATTTATTTACAGATACCATACATATGAGTTGTTTTTCGTTTGCCTTTGAGAGGGATATTTTTTGATTTGTTTCTTGTTGTGGATCAGAATCTCACTCTGTAGCTCTGACTGGCCTGGAACTCATGGTGACTCTCCTGCTTGGACCCCAGGTTTTCGGGTTTTAGGTGTACACTGCTGTGCCTGTGTGCTTTCTTTTCTTTTTATTTATTTTGTTTTTCGAGATAGGGTTTCCCTGTGGCTTTGGAGGTTGTCCTGGAACTAGCTCTTGTAGACCAGGCTGGTCTCGAACTCACAGAGATCCGCCTGTCTCTGCCTCCCGAGTGCTGGGATTAAAGGCGTGCGGCTCCATGTGCTTTCATTTTTTTAAGCATAAAAGGATCAGATGAATACCAAACCTGGGTTCTTATTAGTAGGCAGATTCCTGGTCCTGCTTCCACACACCTGGCTGTAAGTGCTCCAGGAGATGGAACTCTAGTGGTGTTTATGGGAGTGTATGTGTGCATCTATCTGCCTGTGGTGTGTGTCTACACATAGTCTTATCGTCTGTGTTCATATGGTCACTCCCTCACCTTTTTCTTCTTAGAAGTGTGTTTGAGACATTGCTCCCTATTCATATATTTTGATTTTCCTCACCCTGCTCCCCACCTTCAATACATCAGGTGTTTAAAACTTCTACTCATCTGTCTTCTTGTGATGATTTTTTGGCTGTTTCACACATTTACTTTTGTTACATTTTATTTATTTGTTTTTGTTTGTTTATGTAGTTGTATATTCCACAGTATACAGCTTGCAGGAGTTAGTTATCTTTTTCTACTATGTGGATCCCTGGGATCAAACTTGTTATCAGTCTTGGCAGCAAGTGCTATCTTGAGGGTCCTGTGTTTGCTATAAACAAGGCAGAGATAGACTCTTGTCCAAGGTCACTATACTTAACCTTGATATTTCTAAAAGCTGGATTGTTGGTGCAGAGTTTGTTTTATTTTGTTTTAGGTTTTCAAGACAGGGTTTCTCTGTGTAACAGCTCTGGCTATCTCAAAACTTGCTGTGTAGACCAAGCTGGCCTTTAATTCTCAGAGATCTGCCTGCCTCTGCCTCCTGATTGCTGGTATTAAAGGGATGCACCACCACCTCCCACCTCTTCTAAAATTCTTAACATCTGTAATAGGACACAATAGCATTGGCAGTTTAACTTGCCATGGCATTAGCAGTTAGCAGGCTTGGAGTGCCTCCATCATGTCCAGATCGTTCCTTGGGATGACTAGCCCTGGCTTGATAGCAGTGCTTCCCCCTGCTCTGACATGGGTCTTTTCTGTCCAGGTTGGCAGTGGAATCCCTCTGACCGGCCCTCCTTTGCTGAAATCCACCAAGCCTTTGAAACCATGTTCCAGGAGTCCAGTATCTCAGATGGTAAAGTCCCTCCTGGGAGCATGCAGTGGATTGAAAAGTTGGATTGGGGCTAGACAGGCCTTTAGTTCATTCCTGTAAAAGTGCCCAGGCCAAGGGAGAGACAGAACTCTGCGCAGAGGCTGGTCCTGTGTCTCTGGAGTTACACAGAGTTCTAGAAAATGCTGTGCTCTTTCTTCAGCATTTGTCCCTTTTCCCTAACTGCATAGACCTTAAGAAAAGAGAGTCCTGGAATCTGGAGACAGCTCAGTGACTAAGAGGACTCAGGCTCAGTTCCCAGTACCCAAATGGTGGTGGCTCACAATTCCAGTCCCAGGGGGTAAAACACCCATATGCACAAACACACACACAAAAAAAAATGATTAAGAAATATGTATAAAAAATTAGAAAAAAGAAAGGAAAAAGAGAATCCCTTTCAAGACGGCACCTTTGCTGACAACTGCTGGATTGTGTGTGTGTGATCCTTAGAAGTGGAGAAGGAGCTGGGGAAGCGGGGCACGAGAGGAGCTGCTGGCAGCATGCTGCAGGCCCCAGAGCTGCCCACCAAGACCAGGACCTGCCGGAGAGCTGCAGAGCAGAAAGACGCAGCTGATGCCCCCGAGCTTCTCCACATGAAAGGCCTGGGAGAAAGCGGTATGTCCATGCCTTCTCACCCTTCAAGCCAGGGAAGGCGAGCAGACAGTTGTCAGTGGAGCTGGCAGAGAACAGCAGACCCTCCTCAGTGGTCCAGCTCCAGGGAAGGGGATCTACCTCTTGCCCAGAGCTGCCATTCTCCCCCAGGGAGCCATTCAGCAGTTGCTTAGATAGGCAAAAAACTGGGATGCCTGCCGAGAAGCAAACCCACCTTTCCATGTGTTCTTCACAGTGCTGTGGGCATCTTCCAGGACATACATGGCAATAAACAATGTTCAGCCAAATAGAGCAGCCTGGGAGTCACTCATTGTAGGCTTGGTCCCTGGGCCCAAGCTGGGATCCCTGTAGTTTCCGGAGTGTGTTTTTGCACTCTTCTAGGTTTAGTGAGGGCAATGCAGCTGGGTCTGGAAGTGGCTAGAGATATACAGGGATGGTATTGGCAGCCATGTGGGGAGTTTCCTGCATGCCAGCTATGTTCTGAGTACTGCTGGACCAGCATCTGACTCTCCTGCAGACCCACTAAAGTCTGTTTTTGAGGGTGGTGCTTGAACTCACAAAGGCTCCCAGGGGCCCCCAGCATGGGCTGATGGGCCATGGGTCTAGTTGAGTGCGACCAGGCAGGACAAAGTTTAGCTGATAAGGATTCATAAAGGGTATTTACTCAACAGAATCTATAGTTAGTTTTTTTTGTTTTTTTTTTTTAAACAGATGTGCTTTTAACCCCAGACTCACACTGATGAGAAGCTGAATGGTCAGACCCACACAACACATAAAGTACTTTAGGGACCATCCTAGTCAGCCCTGGCTACTGCTGCTGACATGAAACACCATGGCCAGAGAAACTGGAGAGAGAAGGCTTTTTTAGCTTTTGCTTCCACATCACAGCTCATCATCAAAGGAAGTTGGAACAAGAACTCAAACAGGGTCCAGAGATCCACCTGCCTCTGTCTCCCGAATGCTGAGGTTCACTTCTCTCAGATGACTTTAGCTTATGTCAAGTTGACATAAAACTGTCCAGCACAGGGACAATGCACACAAGTGCCCCACATATGTGTTTGGAAGTTTTCCTGAGGATGTGGCTCAGCAGTTGTGCTGAGGAGTTGTCAGGACCTGAGTTCCAATCTGCATAACCCATGTACTAGCACACATCTGTAACACCAGCTTTCCTGCAGAGAGACCCTCGGAAATGTAAGAACCAGCTAGCTTGGTGTACACAGCAAGGTTGGAAGGAAGGACTAATACCTGAGGTTACCCTCTGACCTCTACATGTATGTTATGGCTTGTACACGCACATGTGTGTGCTTGGTTTAAAAAAGAAAAAAAAAAGTCCAAATTGTAGAACCACTGAATCATCTTCCTTAGTCTTTTGGAGGCTGTGGCACCAGGCAGTCCCTTCATCCCTGTTGGTTGTCATGCTGTTGGATCACTGGCAGTGGGGCAGAGATGTTGCCATGGGAGCATGTACTTAGGAAAAGCAGGTGACGAGCAGGCCTGTGTGTTTGTTCCTATCAATGCCATGAAGTGTTTTGGTAGGTCATCTCCTGTGAGCCAGAGGTGTCCCTAACATCTGTGCTCTGTGACCCAGCAGAGTCTCTCTCCCCAGCTTCCTAGACTGGCCTACAGTGTGGGAAGGTCCTCTGTTCACCATCGTTCGTTCTGTGTACCTCCTGCAGCTGACCTGGCAGCACAGAGGCATTGTGTGAACTGTCACTCATATTTTAAAAATACCCACTTGAAGTTTTGTAAAGGACATCTTTCCCTGTCCGTCACAGCAGCTGATGGTCATGCCCCCGGGAGATACCTGACCTCTTCCTTCAGGTTACACCTCAGGAACCTCAGCAAGTCTGACCCTTGGCGTTGTTGTTTCTTCTGACCAGAGTGTGACATTGGAGGGACTCCACAGCTTTAACTGGTTTCAGGATGAGGAAGGCAGGGTCATTCAGCCCTTGCTCCTCTGTGTTTGGGGAGAGGGACCTGTGCCTCTGCTGGTAGAGACAGTGTTGACCGCGTGATCCTGATGACGATGCCCAGCTGTGGTGAATGTCACTCTTTGTCTTCTGCCCTCCAGCAGCACAGCACTTGAGCTTTGTTGTGCCTGTTGTAGGAAAGCTGAGGTGCAGAAGCAGTGTGGGGAGCTCCCCACGGAGTGGTCAGCCCAGCCTTGAGCACAGTGTTTCCAGGGAGCTCTTGCTCACTCTTCCTCTCTGTTACAGATGTGCTGGACAGTGAGCCTGCTGTATCACCACTGCTTCCTCGAAAAGAGCGTGGGCCCCCAGATGGCACCCTAAATGAAGATGAACGCCTTCTTCCCAAGGACAAAAAGACCAACTTGTTCAGCGCCTTGATTAAGAAGAAGAAGAAAATGGCGCCAACGCCCCCGAAGCGCAGCAGCTCCTTCCGTGAGATGGATGGCCAGCCAGAACGCAGAGGGCCTAGTGAGGATGATGGCCGGGACATCATCAACGGGCCACCAGCTCTCACCCCCTCAGATGCAGCAGAGCCTACCAAGTCCCCAAAGGCCAGCAATGGGGCTGGTGTCCCCAATGGAGCATTTCGGGAGCCAGGCAGCTCGGGCTTCCGTTCTCCCAACCTGTGGAAAAAGTCCAGCACACTGACCAGCAGCCGCCTGGCTGCCAGTGAAGAGGAGAGTGGCATCAGCTCCAGCAAGCGATTCCTGCGCTCTTGCTCAGCCTCCTGCATGCCCCATGGGGCCAGGGACACAGAGTGGCGGTAAGTCACGCTGCCTCGGGACCTGCCGTCTGCTGGTAAGCAGTTTGACTCATCCACCTTTGGAGGACACAGGAGCGAAAAGCCAGCTCTGCCTCGGAAGCGTGCCAGTGAGACCAGGTCTGAGCAGGTGGCCAGAGGCACCGTGACTCCCCCTCCCCGGCTGGTGAAGAAGAGCGAGGAGGCTGCTGATGAAGTCTTCAAGGACATGGAATCCAGCCCAGGCTCCAGCCCTCCCAGCTTGACTCCCAAGCTCCTCCGTCGGCAGGTCACTGCCTCTCCTTCCTCTGGCCTCTCTCACAAGGAAGAGACCACCAAGGGCAATGCCTTGGGGACTCCTGCTACTGCTGAGCCAACACCCCCCAGCAGCAGAGTGGGCCTTAACAAGGCCTCCTCTGAGGAGAGCCGAGTAAGGAGGCACAAACACAGCTCAGAGTCCCCAGGGAGAGACAAGGGGCGGCTGTCCAAGCTCAAGCCTGCCCCACCACCTCCACCTGCCTCTGCAGGGAAAGCCGGAAAGTCTGCGCAGAGCCTTGGCCAAGAAGTGGCTGGCGAGGCAGGTGGGGCTGCCAAGACAAAATGCTCAAGTCTGGTTGTGGATGCTGTGAACAGTGACCCCACCAAGGCTGGCCAGCCTGGAGAAGGACTAAGAAAGCCTGTTTCCCCATCTGTGCCAAAGCCTCAGTCCACCAGTAAGCCTCCAGGGACCCCTACCAGCCCGGTCTCCACAGCCCCCACAGCGCCAACACCTTCATCCCTGCCTGGGGATCAGCCATCTTCTGCCGCCTTCATCCCCCTCATATCAACCCGTGTGTCTCTTCGAAAGACCCGCCAACTGCCGGAGCGCATTGCCAGTGGCACCATCACCAAGGGTGTGGTTCTGGACAGCACTGAGGCCCTGTGTCTTGCCATCTCCCGGAACTCAGAGCAGATGGCCAGCCACAGTGCTGTGCTGGAGGCTGGCAAGAACCTGTACACGTTCTGTGTGAGCTACGTGGACTCCATCCAGCAGATGAGGAACAAGTTTGCCTTCCGTGAGGCCATCAACAAGCTGGAGAGCAACCTCCGAGAGCTGCAGATCTGTCCTGCGACGGCTTCCAGTGGCCCAGCTGCCACACAGGACTTCAGCAAGCTGCTTAGCTCTGTGAAGGAGATCAGCGACATCGTACAGAGGTAGCAGCAGCCATTGCATGCCAGCCAGAGATGCCGCAGTCCATGGGGCTTTTGTGCCCGTCAGATGGGGGACAGAGGACTGGGGAGCTGGCATCTTGGCCCAGGAGCTTTACAAAGCATCAGGCAGAGCCAGGGCCTGATGGGATCGGCCCCTCTGCTTGTGTTGTGCACCAGCTGCCCTGCACCTTTCCTCCCCAGCCCAGGCACCCTGAGCCACCTGTCTTTACTGCCTAGGTGTGGACCTCCTGCTCTGAGGACTGCAGCTGGCCTGCCAGGCCACCAGGCTCATCCCTCTCCAGTGCCTCACATCCAGCTCCATGGCCAGCTGCATGTGCTCAGAAGGACTGTCCTTTCCATGTCCTCGAAGGAGAACATGGTCCTGTGATGCGCCTTGTCACCAAGGCATGGGAGTCCCTGGGCTTGCTGTCCCTAAACCTTCTGTGCTTAGGACCTGTCCCAGAGAGATTTTCTCATGTGAAGGAAGCTGTTTATTTGAGGGTCATGAGGTGCTAAAACCAAGGGTCTAGGTGGGTGGGTACTGGAAACAGAGCTGGGGCAGTGTGGTCTGTCATCTATTCTTTATATCCTCAGTGGTGTACCCTGCACATCCTGGATAGCAAGCTTCAGTTTCATGGGTGACAGTCGCTGGTTGGCTAGGCCAAGGCAAGTGCTCCAGGGAGTCCCAAAGATCTGAATTTCTGAGCAGTTGTCTTCCCCTCTCCTGCTCCTGAAGTCAGGCTCATCCTCTCTGGTCCTTGCCTTGATAATGGGGGTCCGGTTTTCTGGTGGTTTTGAGCATTTTAAAGCTCTGCACAGAAAGGAGCAACCACTAGGCACAGACAGCTAGGAAGGCTCACTTGAGCCCTGGCTGCTCCTCAGAGCTGCTGCTTAACCACCAAGAGCAGTGCTTAGCCCAGTGCCCCGGGAGGCACTGCAGCACAGGCTGGGGCAGAGTCGACTTTGCAGGCTTAGCCAGGCCATGTCCTCCCATGTCCTCCTTCCCCAGCAGCCAGGACCAGAGCTGAGAAGAGACAGGCGTGGGCGGCTCCTTGACTGTGACCCGGAGCAGTCAGCTGAAGAGCGGGTGCCTGCCTAGACCTTGTACTGGGCCAGGCGAGGCACCGCCACACTCCCCACTTCTCCACTCGGCTGCACTGCGCCGGCCCCAGTCCCACACTAATCACCTAGACTCGGGTTGTGCTTTTCTGGTAGAGATGATTTCCTCTGGATTGTTCTTCCATAGTCCTCATAGCACATCCCCTCCTTGCCTCCAGCGGCTGTTCTACAGCCCGAGGGAGGCAGTACCACACTGCCAGCGGCCTTGAAAAGCCAAACACCCCCGTGCCCTGACACCGTGTTCACAAGGTACCGACTGGTCTGTTGTTGCTGACATGATGTGCCACTATATTTTGCATTATACTTTGGTATTACACTTTTTTTTAATAGACTTGCTCTCCAAAAAATGACATGTAAATAGTTCACCACTGTGCCCACTCTGGCACACGGTCGGCATTTCCCTTTTTCTCAGTCCAGTACATTTTGTTCTGTATATGACTGTGTTTTTTGAATCCAAATCTCTCTGTAGTATTTTTTAAATAAATAAGTGTTTACAGAACTATTGACAGATTGCTTGGTCTATGATTCATCCCTGCTACCCCTCGTGTCCCAAAGGGTCATAGCACGTTCAGCTGTCATAAAACAGAACAGTGGCTGCTGTCCATGAACAGGATGTCTTGGCCACCCTGTGTCCTTGGTACATAGTTGTCAGATGCTCACTTCTTGTCAGCCTTACAGCAGGTGGCAGTATCCTGTGCCCTGCTTGGAGTAGGAGAGACCTAAGCTCCTGAGATTCTTGCTGGCAGGGTGAAACCTCCCTGGCATGTGTCTACATATGAGCCTGCTTCCTGGCCCGGCCTTTAGCCACCCAATATACATACCTCCCCTGGCATGTCTTCCAGGTGTCAGCTATTCTGTTTGGGAGGACAGTGGAGGACTGGAAGCTGAGGGAAGCAGCGCCCCTCCCCCACCCCCCCCCACAGGCTCTGGGGTTGTGTTTTAGTAAGTTCAGCCTCTGCCGGGGACCATGGCAAGGATGCCAGGTTGTGGTGCCCTGCTACCCCCACCAACTCTACACACAGCCAGTTCTGCTTCCTCTGCCATGACATCACAGATGTGGAAATGGTTCAGAGTTGCCCAGTGGCCCTTATAGACACTGGCTCTCCTGCAGGTTTTCAGTGGCCAATCTGAAAGGGACAGTAGGAGAGCTCCAGGGACAACCCCCACTGCTTAGCATTTGCTCCTCCATGTGTGAAATGGGCCTCTCAGGGTTCTCCCCATGGCCTCAGGCAGGTACTACTGGCCTGTTTTCTCAGTGCTTCATGTAAGGCCACAGGGGTGAGATATGTCACTTCGACCCAGGAATTAAATACTTCCTATCTCTCAAGGTCCTAACGTGTCATCTGAAACTTGGTCATTTCATTTCTACAACTGGCTTTCTTAGACCACTGGAATCTAATAGCTGTGAGTTGCCCAGAGACACGCTCCTCTGCACATTCCGAGGGGTCAGCAGGATGGCTCCATGGGCGGAACAACTGCTGCCAAGCCTGATGACCTGAGTTCAATCCAGGGGACCCATGTGGTGGATGGAGAAAATAAGCTACTGCAAGTTGTCCTCTGACCTCCACGTGTGCACCACGGTGCGCACACGCACACGCGCACACACATCAAAAGGGAAGCAGAAATGATAGAGATCTCTGCCCAGAGATGTGAGGTCAGTGAATCGTGCTGTGTTTGTGTTGGGGTTCTGGGGTGCAGAAAGACTCACCGCACATGTCAGGCACTGCTGCTTTAGGACAGGGCAGGAGGCTGGGTGGTGCCAGCTATTGGGTGTCTGGGAATATGTGGAATAGGCACCTATCTGGAAGCAACTGTGCTGCAGACAGTTCCCCACCTGAGCTCTCATGACACATGCTATGTCACCACATGGGATACTTGCACCCATCCTTCTAGCGCTGTCCTCTTAAGGTGTAGGGTATCTGAGGCTCAGAGAGGTGAAGCAGCTTAGCCAAGGCCACACAGCATGTGCCTGCCAGGTCAGGTGGTTTGTGGCTAGTACAGATAGGCCACATCTGCCCATGGGAAGTACCCTCCAGGCTGAGACCTATCATAGTAAACTGTTTGGCCTGGCCTCAGCCCCATGCCGTCCAACTCCCAAGTGTTCTGGGAAAGATCCTTTCCGTGTGTGTGTGTGTGTGTGTGTGTGTGTGTGTGTGTGTGTGTGTGTGTAGGACAGACGTCAATGTTAAGTGTCTTCCTTAGTTGCCAATGTATTTTCAAGACAGGTCCTCATTGAGCCTGAAGTTTAGGCTAGCTGACCAATGAGCTGCAGGGGTCCACCTGTCTCCACTTCTGCTACTACCATCCACCTCCAGCCAGGGCTGGGGTTAGAGACACGCTCCCAGCTTTTATATGGATGCTGCAGACTAAATAAGCATCCCCCAGCCCCACCCCATCATTGGTATTGCCTTCATCCCTAATAGTCACCTAGCCTCCACTCAAGATGTTCCAGCTAATGTCAATTCCGCAGTTAGACACCTCTGGGATTCCGTTTCCCCGGGGGCTTTGGGACTTGTGCCTACAGACCATGAGCACTGGGTGACCAGGAACTCAAGACTGGGGTCTGTGGATTTCCTGTGGTGTCTGGTACTGGAGCAAGTGAGGATGGGCAGCTACTGTCTGAGCCTTTCTTTTTTCTTCTTTAAGCATCTAATTAGTATTTCAAACTCGGGAAAATATAGACAGACATTCCCTCCATCTTGGCACCTAATACCCTGTAGATATGCACACCACAGGGAAGATTTGCTTTTCCTTTCTATTGTTTTCTTTGAGACCAGGACTCATTAGTCCAGCCTGGCCTCCATCTCGCTCTGGAACCAAAGCTGGCCTTGAACTTTGATCCTCTAGCGTTAGCCTCCAGAGGGTGGGGATTACAAGCCTGTACCACTATGCCTGGCTCGTGTTTATTATTGAATAAATACAGTGAGTAGCTACAGAAGCTCTCAGGTCGGAGAGCTGGAGATGCCAGGCCAGCGGGTGAGCAGCCTGGGGCAGAGTCTGCCTCGGGGTAGATGTTTCCCAGAGCCTTCCCTTCCCCAGTCAGGAGGAGAGTGATTTCTTCATTCCCAAGGGGACAGAAGAGGGCCTAGACCTTGCCAGAGCATGAGAAACTTGGGGGCAGGGGGTTAAATAGGGAGTTTAGCACCATATAGGCGAGCTGGTTTAGCAGATCAATGCTTTAGCAGTCTGAGTGTTCTGATTTTCAGGGCTATTGAGCTCCAATGTACAAGCAAACTGGAAAAAAAAATAGCTTTGTTGGTTCTTTTAATGATTAAAGGTAATGACAGCAGATTCGTTCCTTTGAAGGCCTCCCCCTTCATCTCAGTCTTCTCCATCGTGGTTAATCTAATCCTGCTAAATTAAGAGCCTGCCAGGCTTGGGATGCAACTCGGTGGTAGAGTGCTTGCCTGCACAAGGGCCTGAGCTGGCGCCCTGGCACTGCAAAATAAGGAAATCCAAAATAAGCCAGCGCCTACCCACAGAGAGAGGGTGTGCAGGTCACTCAGCCTCATGGGCAGTATACAACCTGGCTCCAGGGTGCCTTTCTGCCCTGGCTGGTGGTCTGTCTGTCTCCTGTGTGTATGAATGAGCCATGGGAGAGGTTAACTAGGCTATTGTCCCACAGAAGTCCTGGTTGCCTGTGTCTCAGGACTATCTTCACAGTCACTGACCCAGGGAGTGTGTCAGTGTGCATCATGTCACACTGGCAGAGAGCAGCAGCATCCCTTTGCTGGACACACCCTCAGCACATACCCACATCTCGTCCTGAGTGACGTGCCTCACAGATTCTAGAGTCCTTGCCAGTCCTGTGACTGCAGCCTAGGACCCATGTGCAAGGCCTAGGGGAGTCTAACGTGGGCTCTGGAGAAGGCTGTGTACCACAGGGTCAGGTGTTTGGTTCTGGCCTCCCTCCTCACCTCACCTCCCAGCCCTGCTCCCCAGTCAACGTGGTTCTTTTGTGGCTCTGATCTGTCAGCCTTAATGAAGTGGCTTCCTGGCTGCTGAGGACTGAGAGCTGCTACTGGGGACGTAAGTCACCAATAGAAGGGAAAACACCAGAATACTGTGAGGTGCCAAGCTGGGCCTGGCCCAGTGTGGTTCTAAAAGGCTAATAAAAATCCACCAATTAATTGTGACAGCTCAATGGAAAATTATTCAATTGTGAACAGGGGCAAGCCGCCACTCGAAAGGAGGAGGGGAGATGTTGCCATGGAAACATCAATATAAGTCCTCATCTCAGCAGTCACAGCCAGCCCTGGAGTGAGCTGCTTCTGACGGGTGTGTCTGACCTGGGATGGGATGGAGGAGACTCAGCAGCCTTTGAAAGGGAGACTCTGCCTGGCCCCAGGCTGCACACAGCCCAGACTGAGCCCCCCCTCCCCCCCAGGTGGAGATGTCAGCTTCCCCCCCACACACACACTCTAAGAAACGTAGGGAAGGAACAGGGAAGTGAAGACGGAAACAGCCTGTGCCGAATCTCCCTGTACCTTCACCCAGCTGCCAATTAAGGGGCTGGTAGGAAAGGTGTACAGGGTACAGACAGCCTGATTTCCATCTCCCCAAAGTGAAGGCTCCAGGAGCTCAAGAAAAGAAGTTTCTGGGGCCCAGAGGACCTGGAAGAAGGAGGCCAGCATCCATTATGATGCTGCAGTTGTTACAACTTTTATTTCAAAAGATACACACAGCGCATTCCTAGTTTGGGTATTTGAAACTCAACCTTGCTTAGCAAGAAACCATCCCTTCCTCGAGTTCAGTTCCCATGAGGCCCTTGGCCTGGCAAACACTACCATGGACAAGGCCAGCTGCCGGAGGGGATGGGTGGGCCATCCAAAGGGCAGCTTGGTGCCACTGCCTCCCACTGCAGGACTTTCTTGCCAGAGGCATCTTGTGCTAATGGGGTGGAGAGCACACTCACTGTCTTGGGTTTGTTTATTTTTTCCCTTCATTTGTAACTCACATTCTATGCACAGTGGAGTGTGCTCTTTCACAGAGGCGCTTCAGATGTCAGCTACCAGCGTCCCTGTGGGCAACGTCAGAACTTTGATTTCCCACTGCAATCTCGCAGTCCACCTACCATCAAATGAGCAACAGAGCTAGAGGCCTGGGGGTTGGGGGCTGCTCCAGTCAGACCACTGGGGAAAGAAGACAGACAGCAGCCTGAGTCATGGGTTAGGACAAGGACACTTAGTCTTACTAACCAAGACACATTTGCTCTTGTGTAGGTTTTTTTTTTTTTTTTTTTGGAGGGGGGTGATTGTTCATTTGTTTTTGTTTTTTAAAAGAGGCCTTTTTTTTCTCATTTCCAACAATTTTGGTTTTTGGGTGGTTTTTTTTTTTTTTTTTTTTTTTTTTTTTTTTTTTTTTTTTGAGGGGGGTGATTGTTCATTTGTTTTTGTTTTTTAAACACCACTCAAGTTTTTCACTTTAGCAAAGTTGGAAACAAAAAGTTGAGCACACAGCTATCTACCACTAATTTAGTATGATAGGCCTTTTTCCTCTCCAACTCTGGTCCTTGGGAGACAGGGTGTCAGTCAGGGGCAACAGTGGAAAGACAGGCAGAGTCCACAGAGGCCCTCACCGACCAAAGCGAAAGCTGAAGCCTCCCTTCCTCCTGCTATAGCTGCTGAGCTCCTCCGCCAGGGTCCCCAGGGGGCGGCTGGCCTTCTCTGCGTCAGTGGGCAGGAACCCTGCAGCCTGGCTGCTCCTATCCCTCCTCCCTGGGGGGAAGCCTGTATGTTCCCTGTGTGAGGACTGCAGTTCCTTGGCCACCACAAGCAGGGCCTGTGGTTGTGGTACTCTCAGCCACAGGAAAGGATCTTGAACTGAGTGTGGTCTGCGCTCCTCAACCGGGTTGGCCCAGCTCATCTTGGCTCTGATGTCATCGATGTCTGTGGGTCCCCTTCTGTCCAGCAGGGGAAAGCAGGTACTCAGTGGCAGAAGGAGGAGGTAAGGCAAAGTGTGGAGGCTCCTCATCTGAGCGGGGGAAGGAGAGGAGGGGTTTAGTGCCCAGCTTTGGTCACACACAATCCCTGGCCCCAGTTTCCCAAGGCCTGGGCAGCCTTTGGAGGGATAGCTGCTGGCTTAGCTTAGGCCTGGAGACCAGCCTTCCTTAGCCACCGCAGGAGCTGGCTGTACCAATTAGGCTTGTTCTCACACTCTCACCTGCAGCCAAGGAGCTGCCTGCCTTCATGGCTCGGTACCAGAATACCACAGCTGCCAGCTGGCTTGCAGAGGTACCTGGGTGGCCCTCAGGGCTGTGTGCATTCGGGTTCAATTTTCTATTACAATTATTGACTCTTGGGCCGTGGGCAGAGTGAGAAGCAGCAGTGTTTTCAACTTCATAATGAATAGGTCTAGTTGGTCTGCTGGGAAACCCCACTGTCTCCCTAACTCAGGGACAAGTTGCTTCTGGGAGGGGGAAATGGGTCTGGTGGTCCTTGTGTAACTTAGACACCTACCTGGGGAGGAGCCAGTGACAGGGCTGACTGGACAGGACAGGCTCTGAATGGGCTTACCTTCACAGTAAGTCTGTCTAGCAAACTGCACTCCATCACACTGCTAGAGTGGGGGCTCAGGCCTCTAATGTCCATGTGGCTTCTTGGAGTACCAGGACTCAGGGACATGTTTGCTTCCTGCACACAGCCATCCAGTCTGCCAACCAGAATGCCACCCCCCCCCCAATTCCTCAGGTTCGAAGGTGCAGGGTTTGCCCTAGATCCTACAGCCTTATAAGGGAGGGAGCTGAGTTCAAGGTACCCTCGTTACTCTTTACCCATGACTGTCCCATGACTGTTACCGGGTCCCCCCACACCTCTGCCTTGTTGAGAGCTATTCCCCTCCCTCACAGAGGAAGTCTGTTTTGCAATGACCATGGGTGAGCCTGATTGGGCTGGCTCACCCTCTGAGGAGCCCCCTGAAGCTGGAATAGAAGAGGGAGGAGGCATTCTTTCCAGAAACTGCTTCCTTGAAAACATTTCAAAGAAGTGAGCTCAGCCAGAAAGCTTCAAAAACAACAACAAAAGCAGCCTGGCTTCTTAACCAAATCCAGCTTGCTAAGCCCCTGCTCCCCAGGGGCTGGAGTAGCCTCCAGCCTGCTGCTACTAAAGGGGCTTCCTCAGGCCCCAGTGGAGAGCCCCAACCTCAGGGGACAGGCAAGCCTCATTCCCTTCTCCCTATGGAATGCATGAGGACCAAGGAATATTCTTTATCCTTGGAGGTAAATGCTCCCTGGCTGGCTTCTAGGGCTGACCTGCATGGGTCTGGGTCGGATTGATGCAAATGAAGCCAAAGGTCTCCCACGATCTGCACTTCCCTTGTGTGGTTCCAGGTGTCATGTCTGCCTGCACCCAGCCCACCTAGAGAGGTCCCCCCCATACTCACTGTTCTGTGGGCTGCTGTCGGGAGGGCAGGTGAATCCCTGGGCCCCAGTGCCAGGCAGAGCTGCTTGGGTCCTGGTCCAGTAGGCATGGCCTTGGGGGTTCCCTGTTTTATGCAGATCCCTTGTGTCATGGCCCCCAGCCCGCCTGATTGCTGTGCATTCCTAGCCCTAGGATTCCTTTCGGGTTGCTGGTGGTGAAGGCGGGGGTGGGGGTGGGGGGAGGTAGTGTGGGCCACGGGATAATGACACAATGATACAAACAGGATGTGGTCTGATGAAAGTGGCAGGCGCTGCCCTTTTGGGAGGGCATCATTGCCTGTGAACTGTGGCCACAGACCAGGCAGACCTGGGGGGAGACATCATTGCCCACCCTTGTGGTCTCCCTCCAGAGAGGGCGGCCTTACAAGAGACCCCTTCCCCGCTGCTTCGGGGGCTGGAGGCTCACACGCATCCCGTCCCTTCTGTAGGAAGGTGAGGTGTTCTGTTGTCCAGAGAGAGGCAGCCTCTCTGGAGCCTTAGGAGAGGTGAAACTGCAGGAATTCTTGCTTCAGAGGGGTCCTGGGACAGAACCCAGGAACTAAGCTTCCGCTGTCCTGTCTGGCTTCAGCTCGAGCACCACTGTCTGTTAGTCTGTCCCACAGATGGCGCATTGTCTCACCATCCAGCCCCATGACTGGGCTGTACCTGCTGTCTGCACTTACCCCAGACGTGGCTACCCATCCTGATAGGAAGCCACAGGGCTTGCCCTTCAGAACCCCAACTGAGTCTGATCACACCCACCTCCCCAGTGGCTGTCATGGTGGCCTGGATGCAGGGCATTGTGGTAGCTAGGTGTGGACCTTGGCAAAGGCATAGGGCTGGAGAGATGGCTCAGAAGTTAAGAGCACTGGCTGCTCTTCCAGAGGTCCTGAGTTCAATTCCCAGCAACCACGTGTTGGTTCATAACCATCTGTAATGAGATCTGCTGCCCTCTTCTGGCCTGCAGTTTACATGCAGGCAGAACACTGTATACATGATAAATAAGTAAATCTTTAAAAAAACAAACAAACAAAAAAAAGGCATAAGGCAGGCAGGCAGGCGGGCAGGTGGTGAGGTCCTGCACTGGCACCTGCCATGAGGATATGGTTGTTGACACCGACCCCCCTCACCACACACCATGGTTTCTCCCCTGCAGAGTCCAAGGCTGGGTGCTGTTCTTATGAGCCTGGCATCACCACAGTGAGTGTGTATCTAGAGGGGCTGTGTTACAGTACCTCCATGACCCACCCCTTTTACCAGAGACACCCTCTGGAAGCCGCCCACGGTGTCTGGCCACTGCCCATTCCAGGGCCACTACTTGGTGCAATTCTTCTGGTGACTAATGACAGTGCCCCCCATCCCAGTTGAGGCTTCAGCAACTGCAGACAGGTCCCCTGGTGGCCAACATGTTCCTCAGCTCAGATCCCACATGTTATGCTGTGCCCCTCAGGCCAGGAAGCTAGCTCAGATGTTTGATTTAATCTTGCCTCTGAGGGCCAGCCAGACTCCCAGAGTACTTTCCAGGCATACTTCCTGGGCTCCCGCCTGCTTCTGTCCCTCTGATTCTTGAGCCCTTTTCTTTAGCCACTACCTGCCACCATGGACTTTGCCAGCACCCACCCCATATCCAGGACTTGCGATGTCATCCAGCAATACAGGCATCATCAAAGTCAGAGACTGAGCAAAGCAGGAAGCCACTTTCCAGAAGGTTCTAAGGCTTCCTGAGGGCACAGGGCTCCATCCCGCCCATCTGAGATTGCCTACAGCCTGACTTATGGACCTGTCCTTGCTTCTCATGGAGTGAGGGCTGGGACTGGGTGTGAAAGGGTATATTCATGACAGCCAGTCTGGGCCATGCCCTCCCAGGCACTTATCCAGCCCTCAGGCTCTTGGCTTCATCTGAATTTAGCCACATGATTCCTCCCAGAATAGGACCCAGCTTGGAAGCCCATCCAGCTATGATCTCAGGCAGCCCTGAACCTCTGAATCAATGTCACAGCAGTCCTCGTGTCATGAAGGTCATGTGGACCCACTAAGTGGGCATGGCTAGCAGGGTGCCCACCCCACAGGCATTCACCACCACTCTGGCCTCCCTAGTCTCCCCACAGAGCCCTGCGGAGCTCTCTTCCCTCAGTGACATTGACTTAACAGTGTCTGGGCTTGATGGGTGATATGCCGCCACAGGGAGACAGGCGGACACAATCAACGTGGTTTTCTGTGTCCTGGCTCAGGAGTCCTATCCCCAGGCATCCCCATCTCTGTCCTTCCAGCCTTGTGACCCAGAATGAGATGCCTAGAGGCAGGACCATGAGAACTGGTGGAGAGAGTGGGAACTGGCGCCCTGGACTCAGGACGCTCCCACAGTACAAGAGTGAGGAGGCCTCTCCGATGGTCCCCATGCTGGCGCCTTCCTCCAGCGCGGGCGCTCAATCAACACCGCCTCAAGTTGAAGCGTCAAGTCGATTTGAGGAATAAATGACTGTTAATTCTTTCCTAGGAGGGCCAACCCCTCAGAACCCCAGGACCCATCCCCCGTAAGGAGGTTCACCACCACAGAGACACCCGTAGCATGCAGAGAGTAAACTTGCATAGGTGAACCAGTGAGACCCAGATTTCCAGACCAGGCCTGCTGTGTCTGCCTAGCTCTCACTCAGTGAGAGCACAGAGCTACCTGGTAAGTTGAGCAGAGCCGTCCCAGAGCGGCATGTGTCTGTCTAGCTCTGCTGTAACATGGAGTGGGGAAGGACTATAGGTCAGTGTTGGAGTTGGGTCACCACAAGACTTTATTGGAGACAGGGACATACAAGACATCAAGTGCACGCCACCCCAAGTAGCAACTGCCCCTCACTGTTTGCCCATGGGGTATGGTGCTGATCCTCAGAGCTCCTCCCAGGTCCCAGGGCTCCATCTCGGCCACCGTCCGTCCACCGGCAGGCACACCTGCCCTGCTTATCCCAGCTAGCCTCAGGTTGGCCCCTCCCCCATCCCCAGTTCCACAGCAGCCTGACCCCAGGCCTTTGGATTTATGGATCCCCTGCAGTGGTTCCATAGCATCCAGCAGCCTTCCCCCGAAGCAGATGAAGAAACCGAGGCTCTCCAAGGCCCCCAGACCATTGGCTCAATGTTGTTTCACCTCAGTTCTGGCCTCCATGGGTCTTCTGCCAGTATGTTGCCCCTCAGATCACAGAACAGGGATCAGGGCGGCCATGGTCATTGCTCTTGCCCCTTGTCCACATCTCCTGCCTCAAGGCTAAGCCGTCTTGGTTGGAGCTGGAAGGTCACACTGCTGCTCACAGTCTTTCTGGTCATCTAAGGCCTTGCTCTCTCCCAGGAGTGCTCCTTGGGGGCCAGGACCTGCAGTGACCATGGCCACAGACTCCTGTGCTCCACCAAGAGGCTTGTGGTGTCAAGGATGAGGGGACAAGAAAGCCATGGGCAGTGGTGATGCGACGCTACTTCCGCCCACAAACACCTGAGCCACCAATGAAACAGGAGAGGCACAGGGCTCTAAGCTGATCTCCCACCAGCAGAGGCTTTGGGGGTGGGGGGACCAAGGAGCTGTCCACTCACTGCGTGCTAGCTAGGTGGCCATTGTCATGACACAGATATAGCCAGTTTGGGGGCCTTTGGTGGAATCCACAGAGCCAGCTTGGGCTTGGAATGAAGTTTCGATGGTTTGCAAGTAGAGACAGCCATGCTGCCAAGACCCTAGTGTGGGCATGGAAGGAAAGCGGTGTGGTGTGGCCAAGTAACACCATGGGACTCACTCAGGTAAATTTGACAATTCCATTGTCAAACCAAAGTAGGTCTGGTGGGTCAGTGACCATAGCCTGATAATGTCATCCATCATGTCTAAGTGGACCTGCCCTGCCCCCCAAAGTTTCCCAGCATTCCTGCTTCCTGTGGACACTCTAATGTCAGGTGACAGGCATCTTGCACAGACATCAGACCAGTAAACTCCTCAAGCTGGGGCTAGAGGCTGTGGCCCAGTGTGCAGTGTCAGTGTTCCCATCTGTCTTCACAGGGTGCACACTAGGAAGGGGAAGGCAGGGCTGTTGGCCTGACCTCTCCCCACTCTGAATGGCTTTGTGCCCACTCGGCCAGTATTTGGCAAAGCCACACCCCCTAGAGTACCAGCCTGGCCTAGGGGAGGGTTTGGTGTCCCTGGGTCAGTGATTGGGCTCTGAAGGACTGTTGTCCCCAGTGTGTCCGGATAGGAATGCATGTCACCCTCATCTGGCCACAGCGGCCCACTGGGATGAACAGCTCGTGTGTTCTGCAGCCCAGCCGTGGCCTGGAGCCCACGCCTTCTGTCGTACACTCACATCTGTGAATCTGTTAACATCACACTCGCAGGAGTTTGTTTGATGACACATCAGAAAGCGCTCAGCACTTCTGAGCAGCAATGACAGAGGCAGCTGGCAGCAGAAGCTACTCAGCACCGGTCTCGGCAGTAGTGGGTAGTGTCTGCCAGGACCCACCTCTGCAGTGAGAGTAGGTGCCAGGAGTGGAGGAGAGAGGGAATGAGAGGGGACTTCCCTGTGTGTCCCTTGTCCCATCAGAACCCTGGCTACTCTGGGCTGGATCCACGTTTCTTGCCACCAGCTGGGGACCAAGTAAGCAACAACTGGTCTTTTCCAGTACATAGGACAGCTTTGACCTTCACAAAAGGCCCAATGCCCAACATGAGGGACGGAGCGGGTGGTACAGTCCATCAGTGGGGTTCAGGCTTTGCTACAAGTCTGGTGGAAGGGAAGGGTCCTTGGGTCCCATGGGTCCTTGCCTGCCTGCCTCCAGGTGTCCCCTCCTTCTGCCAGAGGAGGGTCACCATTGCCATCCTACCTTCCAGTCTTTTCAAAGCTCCCATCAGCTTCCCACAGGACACAGACGCTGCTCAGCTGCCAAGCAGGTAGCTGAGGGCTGGGGCTGCAGCCTGCCCTCCTGGGAGATCACCTGTAGGGGGCACTGGTGGGGTGCAGGTCCAGATGTCCAGCTGGCTTGATTCCTCCGTCTCCTGACCCGTAGGCCCTGATGGCAGTGGCCATCATCACCAGCAGGGGGCAGACTCTCTGCAGAGATGGCAGCCTTCGGGCCATGCTGAGTTCCGTGGCTTGCTTGCTTTTACTCTCTGGCTTCTGGGAGGATCCTAGAGGCAGTCCTCCGAAGTTAACAGAGCACAAGAGCCTAGCACAGCCCCACCTCAAGTGGTTTTCATTGGTTAGATCAGTCCTACCCCTGCCCCAAAGGCGGGTAAAGTGGGGCAGGAGCCATGGCTGCCATGCAGGAAGCCAGGTAGACCTCCTTTGAGTGGGGAGAAGCCAATCAACTTTGAAAGCAGCCAGGGTAGAAACCTGTCAGGTCTGCAGAGGCCCAGGGAAAGGCAGCCTAGGGGGCTGGCCTCAGCCTTGGGGCTTTGTAGACAGCTGTGCCCCAGGCCAGTTGGCCACAAGGCCACAGGAACAAGCAATGCTCAGCCCCAGCTATTCAGGGTATCTGATAAGAGGTGGGGTCTCCAGACCCAGAGGGAGTGGGCCTGGGGCAGGCAGGCAGTCAGGCAGGCAGGTGTCAGAAGGCCTGAGTTTTCCGCTTTGATGGGCCAGAGGGGTCCGGAGTGCTGTTTGACCCCTACTCTGTATGTTTTCACAAAGCCAGGAAAAGCAGGGATGCTGCCCTGCCAGGAGGCAACAGGCACAGCACAGGGACTAAAGTTGGGGCAGGTGGGATTTGGGGTTGCCAGGTGCCAGTCCCACTGGTAGAAACGAAATCACGTCAGCCGATAAATAGGGATCTGGTTGTGAAGGGTGTTGTCACTGGCTCCTGGAGCTGAGTTTAAGGGCTGGCCCTAAGCCATTCCTAATGAAGAGCAGGTCAGCCATGCACAGGTGGGCAGAAAAATGTTCTTGCAACAGCGGGCACGGAGTGGGCACGGGGTGAGATGTGTGGGGACTGGACATAAGCAGAGGACACTAGTGCTGGGCAGTGTGCCAGTCTAGCGGTCCTCTCGAACCGGCCGGACCTTCATCTCTGAGAACTTGAGTGAATACTGCCAACCAGTCCAGGAGGACCACTCGATGCCATCTGCGTAGGAGGCATGAGCGCCACGAAGGTACTGGCCATTGAGGTTGGATGTGTGGCAATTGCGGTACCACCAGGCTCCTCGGTAGAAGGCGGCACAGTTATTCTCTGAGTGGTCGCTGTCCCGGTCCTTGGTGGTGAATCTCATGCCACTGTGCTTCAGGAGGGAGTCACCTGTATGGCATGTGCACACAGGGGTGGACATCTGGGCAGAGGTATACACAGGCCCCGGAACACTGTCCACCAACCGTGTGAGCCTGGGTGTGAGTGTGTGCACGCCGCCCTTCAAACCTGTGCCCAAGAGCTCTGCTGCCAACCCCACACCACAAGCATGCCTTCTGGCTGTTCCTGTGTCCAGGCTGCCTCTACCCGCTCCCAGCATTCTGGAACTCCCATTCCTTTATCTGAGAGGAGAAAGCCAGCCCAGAGGTCTCTTCTACAACTTGATGGCCCCACAGAATCCAACCCCAGGAAGCCCCTGGATCCTGCTTGGGGCTCAGCTCTTCACTGTGAAACATGGAAACTACTCAGGCTCCATAGGGTTGCCCATGGAACTTGTGACCCCGGGAGGCAGAGGGGTTTAACCCGGCAGGCCAGCTTCCCCTGCTGCACCATGAGCCTCACCTGCAGTGCCTGAGTAGTCAGCCACCGTGAGTGGGTACCCATCCTCCTCAGGGTCCACAGAGAACAAGCCCACACCGAAGCTTCCATAGTGGGCATAGGCAGTGCCATTGTCAAAGTCTTCTAGGTCCACGTGCAGCTCATAGGCTGCTTGTGTGGTCAGGGCGTGGATCCGCTTGAGCCCTGGGGTGGGGGGAGATGGAGGAGGTCATGGATACAGGGGCACCCCTCCCACCAAACGGAACTGATCACCTATGCTCAGGACAACTGCTAAGTGTGTGCTCTGCGCTCTGGGCCACTTCCTTCTCCCCGAAGGCATGATTTTGGCAGATGCGGGAGACTGAGTTATCGTGTTTATATCGGGCCTTGCTCTCCAAATGTAGTGTGTGTTGGCATCTCATGTATGTGCCATGTCAGGTGTCCCCTGACCCTCTCCTCCTCCCCTTGTAAGACAGGGTCTCTCACTGAACCCGGAGTTTATGGATTCAGCTAGGCTGTCTGGCCAGAGAGCTCCAGGGACCCCCACCCTGTCTCTACCTCCTTAGAGCTAGGAAGACAGGCACATGACACTGCACCTAGCATTTTACAAGGGTATGGAGACCCAAATTTGGGTCCTCTTATCTGACTGGACCATCTGCACAGCCCCCAGTCATAGGCACTTTGAGGCGACAGCTGGTAGAGAGATAGTCAGGACGTGAAGTTCAGATAGGGGTGGTGGCCCCTTATCTGAACCTGGCCTGCAAGCCTTTGCATGAGCTGTTTTCTCTACCTATTCCTTAGCACCCTGTTACCTTTCTGTTCAGCCTAGGGAAGGTGGCTGGCCTCCCCTGCTGATCCAGACACCCCCCTTCTTCTTAACATTCATCATTCTGGTTCTAGCAGGTTCCTTGTGAATTTCTTGCCAGCTTAGTTCCCTAAACACAACTCTGCAGTCAGTGTTTGCTGTGACCCCAGTAGGCACGGTGGGACCTGGCATGACACATGCTCAATAAATACTTCTCAGTTCATGGAGCGAAGGCAGTGCCTGCATCTCCTGCTATCCCCAGGTCCTGATTCTGCCCCCCCCACTACCCAACCCGTCTTTCCTGCCTCTATCCCTCCCTCCCATTTTCCTGTTCTCTGGCCCTTGGGCCATCCCAGGGTCTCACACAAACAGGGCACTTCCCTCCCTTCACAACCAACTCTTGATTAAGAGGGCACTTAATTAAACGCCTCACAAGTTCACCGCCTACACTGTTCATCAGCCCCTCCCCGTGGGCTAGTATTTAGGTTACTATGTGCACAAAAGCTTTGTGGACCCTCCCCTGCTCAGCTTTGGTCTCCTCTGCCGGGCAATCTGTAGCCCATCACAGGATTCCTGGTCCCCCTTACCCCACTCAGAACTGCTGACTCAGCTCAACCCAGAGACCTGAAGGATGTGGGTTCAAGAGCTGCAAGAGCAGGCAATCTCACCACATCCTGTTTCTATGCCTGGGCTGTTACCCCAGGGCTGGTGGCATCAAGGCAAGCTGCTCTCTCTCTCTCTGCACATGGCTTGCACACCTGTGCAGGGCTGATGGACAGATGCACAGGCAGCAGGTGACAATGACAACAATCCTCACCTGGAAGCCAGGAACCGTTCTAAGCACCTCCTGCATAGTGATAGTCAGGCAACATCAGAACGTGATTAATTACAGAGCCTCGGCACGACCAGTGGTTGAGCCCACTGCACGCTGCCCAGAACCGGCTGGGGTGGGGAAGGACTCAGCAAGGCAGGCACAACGATCCCCTATCGTATGGGCTGGAGAAGGAAGGTTCAGAGAGGTGGAGTCTCCTGGCCAGATCACACAGCTGGCAAGCAGCTGTGCTGGGATTTGAACCCAGGCAGAATGCTTCAGACTTTTTCAGGCCTAGCCAGGCATTTCCCAGGGGTGCTGAGAGATGCCCTTTCCCATCACTACATGGTCACTGGGGTCCAAAGACCTACAGTCAACATGCCACAGCTGGGTTAACAGTACAGGGCTCTGTATGCACCTGCCTAGTGCCTGCACTGGGGCTGCTGGGTAAGCTGTCTGGCAGTGGGTGGGGCTTCTGAGACTCATCTGTCTTCAGTGCTCTCCCTTCCCTTTCTCAGCCTCCTCATGTCTTTACTCTAGGAAGCTCCAGCTCTCACCAGCCTGAGACTACTGCCTGCCGTGTCTCTGATCCCCGAACAATGGATTGGGAGCTATGATGCAGTCCAGTTGTCCTTCAGAGTGACAGAGTACCCTACACTGCACACAGTCATTCCAGGGAGCTGAATCTAAGGGGCTGGCTAGATGGCTCAGGTGGGCAAAGGTACTGGCTGCCAAGACTGACAACCCAAGTTCAATCCCTCGACATAGTGGAGAGAACTGACTCCCATAAGCTGTCATCACAGACACACACACACACACACACACACACACACACACACCATGGGACACACATATATGCACACAATAAATGGTAACAAATATAATTAAATTTAAAAATACAAAACAGGGCTGGAGAGATGGCTCAGAGGTTAAGAGCACTGACTGTTCTTCCAGAGGTCCTGAGTTCAATTCCCAGCAACTACATGGTGGCTCACAACCATATGTTATGAGATCTGGTGCACTCTTATGGTGTGCAGATATACATGGAAGCAGAATGTTGAATACATAGTAAATAAATAAATAAAATCTAAAAAAATAAATAAATAAAATAAAAACACAAAGCAGAACAAATAAATGAAAATTTAAAACATGGTAAATAGTGCCTGAGGAACGACACCTGAGGTCAACCTTTAGCACACACACACCACACACACTCACACACACACACACACCACAAAGCAGAACAAATAAATGAAAATTTAAAACATGGTAAATAGTGCCTAAGGAACGACACCTGAGGTCAACCTTTAGCACACACACACCACACACACACACAGACACCTACCTGCCTCCATGCACCCACCCCACATACAAAAACTAAAACTTCAGGAGTAAACAATATCGGAAAAAGGCTGACAGGTAAATTAATGAAAGCAAACGTGTGGTGTGTAGCCATAGCCACAGTATGTAAAGAGCATCTGTAAGTCAATAGGAACAGAAGAAGCCCCCACAAGAAGGTGACAGGTTTAGGAGAGAAGAGGTGAGGCCATGGGAGGCTGAAGACCTCACAGTTGACATTCTTGTCAGGGCTGCTCTCGTCTGCAGAGCTAATCAAAGCCTTGCTTAAATGCTTCCTCCCCACCTTCTGCAGCCGCTGATAGATTTCAATTAAGATGCCACTGAGCAGTAAGGCGCCAACCCTGATCCAAGCTTATGGGTGGGAAGCGGGGACAGGGCCTCTAACTGGCTGCCAACAATTTTTCCTTCACATATCTACCTTGGGGTGGGCGAGGAGGAATTTCCTATCCATCCTTGTTTGCAGTCCCTTCTCCTAAAATATCATCAAAGCATGCCACATTCCTACCCATGGCGCCTGCCTGGGCTCCACATACCTAACATATCCAATGGGACTCGTGGCTTCAGGTCCATCACCTGTAGAAGGGGTATTGGGAACAGGACCACCCTCCCAGCTGCTGTGAGGCCCCAGGGACTGATGTGTGGCACGAGCTCTCAGTAAACTCGGACCATGGTCCAAATGATGTGTGGCCTCTCCTCATGGAAAGTCCCATCTGGGTACTGGGATGGGGCAAGTCCTACCCTCCTAGACCCCGGTCAAGGAGCATGAACTTAACTGGTGCCATAGGACGGCAGGCTGCTGACTATAGCACCCATCTTCCTCCACCCTGCCATGGGGCCTGCCTTCCACATCCACAGGGGTGTCCATGGAAGTCTCTTGGCATCCGGCACCCTCCGCCCAGGATCTCAGCGCCTCAGATGAAGATGAAAGTGCCAAGTGGACTGGCCACTCACTGGGGGTTGCTCACTATCCCCGCATGACTACTGCTGACCCTGAGGGCAGGGGCAATGTCTCGGTTATCCCCAGTCCTCCTGATGCCTGAGATGGAGCCCCTGAACCCACCATCGCTGGAGTGACCCAGGACTGCAGGGAGCTAGCCAGCTGCCAGACAGGTCAAGGCTTCCTGCTTCTGACCTAGAGTCACTGGAACAGCCCTTCCCCACCTGGTGTACAAGGGACTGGGGACCCTCGGCATCCTCCATCTGTCCCTTCCCAATTCCCGATTCCCATTCATTTAGTTTGCATCTCAGCATGCATTTGGAGATCAGATGACAACCTGTAGGAACCAGTTCTCTTCCACAGATGCATCCTGGGAATTGAACTACAGTTACCAGGCTTGGGGGCAAACACCTTTACCTACTGACTTATCTCCCTGGCGTTTTTTGGTTTATCAACACTATTGTTTTTGAGTCAGGATCTTAATATGTAGCACCACAGTCAAGACTGGAAATCCTATGCACACAAGGCCACACTCAAACTTATAGCAATCCTCCTGCCTCAGCCGCTCTAGTGCTGGAGTTACAAGCATGAACTATCATGTGTAGCTTTTGTTTTTATTTTTCTTGCTGGACTACACAGCTCAGTCTGGCCTTAAACTATGTAGCCTGGCTGGCCTGGTACTGGGGTTCTCCTGCCTCCAGGGTGCTAGGGCCACTCTACCCAGCTTTCTCCATCATATTTAACAGCTCTGGTCCACGGGACCCACTTGTATAATGCTCTTCAGTTGGCTCTATTCTCATGGTCTCCATCACTTGGCCCTCCTGAGACTATGATGGAATGCATTTACAGAAAGGCAAGAAACGGGCAGGGGCAGAGTATGGAATGTGCCCAGTGTGAGGACACTCACCCAGCCAGTGTTCCCCTGTGAGCTTGCCGAAGCCTTCCCGGTATGCCTCCCAGCCTCGGAAGAAGTTCACAGAGCCGTCCTCCCGGCGCTGAAACACCTGCAAGGGGAAGGGAAGGGAAAGCATGGGAGTCTACCACCTCAGGACTCTAGCCCCTAGGCTCCTGCCCTTACCCACAAGCTGCCCTGGCCCTGGGATCCTGGGACACAGGGATGGGGTGGGTGGGATGGAGAACAGGCCTTCCAAGTCCCTCAGTTGCTCCTGGCTCTAGGACTTGGCGTAGCCCTGGGTCTCAGGAGCTTGTGTTGGCCAGAGGCAGGACTGGCTGCCCCACCACAGATCCCGGGAATGTCCCTACAAGGAGGGGTCACCATGGACAGGCAGGCAGGGCAGCTCCCAGGCCCAGCCCACTTCCGCTGGGCCCCTCCTGGTTCTCACCAGGAGGCAGAGGCCTGAGGCTGTGGCTCAGCTGGTAGAGTGCTTGCACGAGCTCTGAATTTTGTCTCTGCCTAAGCCAGGCATGGTGGCACAGCACTAGGAGGCAGAGGCAGGAAGAGAAGAAGTTCAAAGTCATCCGTGGCTACACTGAAAATCCAAGGTCAACTTGGGCTTCATGAAATGCTGTCACAACTAAAAGAGACAAAGAAAGTTAGAAATGAGGGGGGGTGGGCATATGCTTGGAGTCTTTATAGGCGTTGTTGTCTGTTTTGCTTGTTTTGGGGACAGGTTCTCACTTTGTAGTCACCTGCCCTATAACTCACTACGCAGCCCATAGCAATAAATCCTCCTGCCTCAACCTCCCAAATGCTAGAATTGTAACCACACACTACCATATGTCATCCATTCTCAAGTTTTTAAGCAACTCCTCATCTTAGACTTGACCCCCTGATCCCCACCTCTTACACAACTCCTCTCCCCAAAACATACACTCCTGGCAGAACCCAGGGAGTGTGGCCTGGGAACCCTGAATCCAAGTCACTTCTCAAGCGAGGACCAGGAGCCCAGAGCAGGCATCGGGTGTGACTGGGGTCCCCCCCAGCCGCCGAGCCACCAGAGCTGCCTCTGTTCTTTTTAATAACATTCTCGATTTGGGAGTCTGGAGTCCCATTGGTTAAATTGCCTTGAAATAAGGACCGTGCCGGTCCCGGCCCAGCTGACGAGTATTTACACGATCGCTGACAGTCCCGTTCCGGAGCCGCCTGGCCCACGCCGCCTTTCTGTTTAACAAGCCTTTTCCTGCTCATTTGCAGAGGCAGCGCCCACTTGCCTCCATCTGTGTCTGATGTCAGAGCTCTGGCTGCCGCTCTCATTACTAAGCAGCCCGGTTCCGGCAACTCGGAACCTCCCGGGTACCCAGGCAGAGCAGCAGCGTCTGCTCGCTGAGATGCACCAGGTCCCCAGGGACACGTCAGTCACAGGCAGTTGGGCAGCTCTGACGTCACGGGCTGGGGGGGGAAGATGACACTTTTTTTTTTTCTACTGCCCCGACCTGGTCCTGCCCTGAAATTTCAAGTCCTCAGGAGGGACCTGCTGGATGGAAAGAAGTTCGATAAGGCTGGGGAGATCTGAGCGGTGTGGAGAGCCGTATTGACGGCCGCACATTGGGACCCTGAGCACGCGCCCTTTGAAAGGCTTAATCCTGGCAGAAGCTTAGGCCCTCCGGAAGGCGAAGGCGGCAGGCAGGCTGAGCCTGCTTCTGTTGGAGGAGGAGGAGATCAGCAGGAGCAGCAGGCTGGAAGCCCCAAGCAGGCTCACCTCCTATTGGAGGCCCTAGGGTCCCCACCCCCGGGACTCAGCCGGGTCAAGGGGAGGGGTTGAGTTGCTAAGGGTCTGGACTCCAGAGCCTGGCTGTTGCATACCCTTCACCTCTCTAAACCTGTTTTGTCATCTGTGAAAGACCATGCCTGGGCTGTGAGGTTCCAGGGCCTCATGCATAGTAGGTGTGCAGTCAGCGCTAGCTGGATAAACATGAGCGCTGTAGGTCTGCCCACAGTCTCCTTTGAGTCCCTCTCCTTCCCACCCTGCTCTCTCTTCCAAATGCCAGCCCCGCGGGTCTCCTCCCCAGCCCTCCTGTGCAATGCCTGCTGCTACCCTCTTTCAGGTGTACAGTCCCAGTCAGTCCAAGTCCACCGCACAAGGTCCAGACTCTGTCCTCAGGGACCTTGGGACTCTCCGCCACCACACACAGGACACAGAGCAGAGAAAAAACAGGTTTGCACAGAGAAATGCAGCTGCCTGGGACGGCGAGGCGGGGCAGAGCCCTGGCCCAGACACTGACCTGCTACTAGTTCAGCTGTGTCCATCCTCCTTACTCCTCACAGTAAGCTCTGTGTCCCAGGACCTCCAAAGAACACCCTTCTAGTGCCTTGCCTAATGTGAAATGGAAGGTGGGATGCCAGGCTTCCAGTCCCCGCCCTCACACACACACAGGAAATGAAACCCTAGTGGAGACCAAACAGGGAGGCCTGGTGAGAAGAGGCATGTCAGAGAGGGAACAGCGCCTCTCTCAGGCAGCTAGGCCCAGCTTAGGCTGTAGGCTGTAGGGTTTAATGCACTGGGGGCCAGATGAGTCCCTCCTGAAGGACTGAGGGACCACTGAGGTCTCTGGATGGAGCCTCCCAGTTGTGCATCCCATCCCCAAAGAGCTCAGAGCTGTGGGCCGGGCCCAGCCTGCTCTTCAGATACACTGCAAGGGTCCCACAGTCCGAAGCTATAGTTCCTGGAACTTGGCCTGATTCTGCCTTTCCCTGACCCTAAAGGGCACAGTAAAGAGCGTCCCGACCATCAGATCAGACGGTGCTGAGCCCATTACTTCCCTCCACAGCACCTGCTGTTCACCAAATCCGTCCTCCAGCACAGATGAGTTCTCTGTTTCTTCTGTGTTCTGTCTGTTATAGAAGATAGAAGCTGGGACAGTGGCAAAGTAGCCACCCACATCCTCAGCCACTGTCCCACCGTTGTTCTCAGCTGTTAGCCACTGCACTGTCCCCATTGCACCATGAGCTCTGCCTGAATGGTCACCTGGGGCAGACACACACATCCTGGGCCCACCAGGGTCTCTTGCTTCTTTTCTACCCAGCAAAGAGACACCAAAATGAAGAATGGCTATTAATTCTTGTTAGATTTGGCCCCGAAGAAACCATAGTGTTGGCCTGAAGAGATAGATCAGGTCAAAGTTGCTCGCCTTGCAAGCAAAGGACCTGAGTTCAAATCCCTAACACCCATGTAGAAAACTGGGCATGGCTATATGCACCTTTAGATGCTGCATTGGAGGACAGAGACAGGTGGATCCCAGAAGCTTAGTGACCAGCCAGCCTAGGAGAACGAGCTTCCCGTTCAGTGAGAGATCTTGTCCTGAGGCAATAATGTGGGGGGGCAATAGAGGATGACGTGCAACACCCTCCTCTGGCCTCCCATCACAAGCACTGGCACGCATACCCACCTATACATCCACGTGCACGCACTATGCACCTGTACACATGCACACACATACGAAGCTAAGCCAAGTGTGAGGACACACTCTGCAGAGGCAGACAGTGGGTCCCTGGGGATGGATGGCTGATCTTTCCCACTTGTCAAGCTTGATGACTAGGTCTCAATTTTTTTTTAAAAAAAGTATATAAACTGGGCATGGTGGCACACACCTTTAACCCCAGCACAGAGGCTGAGGCAGGCAGATCTCTGTGAGTTAAAGGCCAGCCATGGCTACATGGTGAGACCCTGTTTCAAAAAAAGAGAGAAAAAAGTGCACATAGCCTGAAGAACAGCATCAAACATTGTTCTCTACTTGCACACACATGGACACACATGCACAAATACAAAGAAACTCTACCATTTGCCAACAAGGCCATTGCAGTTGGACTGAGACAGACAATGACCCACTTAAGAGGCCACTACACACCCCTGCCCACCCTTTGAGGGGCCACTGCACATCCCTGCCCACCCTTGAGGAGCAACTACATACCCCTGCCACAGTTTTGGAGGTGGGACTTTGAGATCTTTGGACCAGGGCTCAGAGAAGCCCACTTCCCATGCCCAAGGCCAGATGTATAGTTTACACTGGAAACCGAGGCTTCGGGGTGTGGGGAATAAGCAGGCTGCGCCATTTCCTACTGTGTCCTCCTCTGTTCCACTCCATTCGATTTAAAAAAGCAACGTTGATCACAACCCAGGAAATTGATTTCGCCACCTGCCGATGGATCCGGGCCCACAGTTTAAGAACCGTTGCCATCAAGTTTCTGGGTTCTGACAAGGGCTGTGCTAGCCACAGGTCAAATATCGAATGACTGAGTGTCCCTGAACTCACACTGGCACCTGCTGCAGAGCACTATGTGGCCTGACAAATCCTGAGAGGTCCTTGTGGCTCCAGCTAGTCACAATACCAAGGTGCTGGGCACGTGGGCATGTTTCACCAGACTCTGGGGCCCAGGGCAAATGGCAGCTGTGGCTTTAGAGTTCTGAAAAACCAGCTGGATTTTAGTAACAACAACAGGACAAAGGCTTTAATTAAAGAGCAAGGATCAGCTGGTCAGGAGGATGCCAGCCACGGGCCTGGAGTGTCCACATCCCCTCCTTCGGCCCCAGGCTTCCCAGGTAGACAAAGGCTGAGGAAGCTAAGACCAGAAGCAAAATAGTTATTGATCAACTCTGGGCCTGCAGTGGGTGTTGGCCCAGCTCCTGGGCTTTACTTGGCTTCCGGCTGGAAGGCAACAGAGAAATACTCACTGACGCCGAGGCCTCCTGGGCAGGTGCCATGAGTGGGAAGGCAGACAGCACGTGTTTTCTTGGTTCAGATTCTTAAAACCCAGCCTCCTGCCGCCACTAGTGCAGCTTGGAAGTACCACCCAGGGGCTCTGCCAAGGAAGCCTGTGGTCCACATGGTCCTGCAGACGGTGCTGGGCAACTTCAAAGGAGAATCAGCAACTGCACTTGATGCAGTTGATTGTCCAGTGAGCATCTGCAGAGCCAGAGGCCACATAGACACAGTGGTGCCTCCTCAGCCTCCCTCTTCACAAGTCTGCAGAATAAGCCTGCTGGCCCACCCCCTGTCTGCAGTAATACTGAGGACACGGAGCTGGTATCCTAAGTACCAGACAGAC